GTTAGGGATGGGAATCAAACCGAAAAATGGGACTTGAAAAAGATTTAACAGATGGTCAAGTCTGCTTCTCGCAGATATCGTTGGGTGAAGCTGATAAAAATTTTTTTCGCCGTTAATAGGCCAAACAAAACATTCTGAAACAACGGTCAGCCCGAACGATGGCAAATAAGGAACAGTCGAGAGACATAAATTTTGATTTAGGGGAATGGAATTAGTTGATGGAATATGATGAGAAAGATAGTGGGGTTGTTAATGTGGTTCAAACCGTATGACATATAGAAGAGTCATGTAAAGAGGAACATGCAGAAGTTTGTCTGCTTGTGTTTCATCCCCAAGCCGTAAACACAGACAGTATGAGGTGTGGTTAGAGGTAGGAATCAAACCGAAAAATGGGACCTGGAAAAGATGTAAAAGATAGTCGAGTCTGCTTCTTGCAGATATGAAAATGATAAAAATTCTGAGTGAAACTAATAATTTCCTCGCCGATAATAGGCCAAACCAAAAATTCTGAAGCAACGGCCAGCCCGAACGATGGCAAATGCGGAACAGCCGAGAGACATAAATTTTACTGTACGGGTGAAATTAGTTAATGGAAAATGGTGAGAAAAATAGTAGGGTTTTTAATGTGGTTCAAAACGTATGACATATAGAAGAGTCATGCAAAGAGGAACATGTAGAAGTTTGTCTGCTTGTGTTTCACCCCTAAGCCGTAAACACAGACAGTATAAGGTGTGGTTAGAGGTGGGAATCAAACCGAAAAATGGGAAATGAAAAGATTTAACAGATGGTCAAGTCTGAGTGAAAATCCCAAAAATAAACGCAGTTTCCAGATAATTCCGGAAGGACAACTTTTTCAGCACAAAAACTCACCATATTTTTCGCCAAATTTTCTTGTCCTAAAAATATCCATTCGTAGCATGAATGCCATTGCAAATCCGGTCATAAATGAGTCCACTCCAGCGCGATGACAACCTAAACAAGATATAAGGAATGAATCTACTATACTGGAATCTTTTCTACTCCAATCTTACTACTGCACGTAAAATTATGCAAATATCTGTCTGTGTTTACAACTAAGGGATGAAACAGAGGTAAACCTTTTACTCCTTCCCACATGACTTTCCAACATACGGTTTGGTGCTGCGTGGACTGCCTTACTATCTTTCCCATCATAACTTATTAAACTAATTCCATTCTACTTTAAGTTTCGGAGTGTGGCCGTGTCGCATTTTTCCGGACTGTCCGCTTGCTTCAGAAATCACGGTCCGGCCTACCAACGACCACAAATTATTTTAACAAACTTATCTCACCCTTCGTTTTAACTTTCTGTCTCTGGCCGCTCCAAATCTTGTTTTTTTTGGACCGCCCATTGTTTTAAGATTACGATTCGGCCTTCTAACGGCCGAAATTTATTATCCTTTCATCTCTAGCAGAGTTCCTTTCAGTACCTGTTACATTTTACGTGACAAAAATCACATAATTTGGTTGTTTGCCGAAAAAGATTACCTAATACCGATCGATTTACATCATTTTTTGCTGGAGGAGTTTTCGGCGCCTTTGGCTGTTCATCCCCCGCTGGAGCTGATGCATTCAAGCGATCTTTTGAAGCAGCATCCGATTTGTTGCCACTATCGGATGAAGCA